CCATCTCGCGCGACGACCTCGACTCAGCTGTGCGCGAGATGGAGCCGCCTCTTTTGCGACCCGACATGCCGCGCTGCCACGCCAAGGACCTCCGAGTACCCCAGACTTTCAAAGAGGCAAAGCAGAGCGAGCACAGCGAGCAGTTCATGGATGCGGCCAAGCGTGAGGTGTTTGGATTGCTAGAAGCAGACGCGTTTAAGATTGTTGGACCGTAGCAGCGAATACACAACTGCATCAAGTCGAAGTTGATTTTTGATTGGAACGTAAATGCGTTCGGCTTTCCTTCGAAGGCCAAGGCTAGACTTGTTGCGAGAGGAGACATGCAGAAGGAGTACATTGACTTTGGTGATTTGTATGCACCTACTGTAGCTTCATATAGTGTTCGTATGTTGGCAGCTTTGGCGTGTGAACTTGACTTGGAGTTGTGTCACTTCGATATCGACCAGGCTTTTGTGAGGGCCCCTCTCAAGGAAGATAATTTCATGCGACTACCGGATGGATGTGGTGCGTTGTCGGGGAAGATAGTGCAGTTGAACAAGAGCCTTTATGGCTTGAGGCAGGCATCTAGAGAGTGGTACGCGTTACTGAAGAAGTGCCTTTTGGCTTTGGGGTTCGAGCAGTGCATGGCTGATTCGTGTGTTTTTCGTTTAGTCGAAGGGGGGGATGTAGTGTTGCTTCTCGTAGTACACGTAGACGATATTTTTGCAGTGGGGACGAAGGAGAGGTGTGATCAATTCGGCAAGGACCTGGGAGAGTACGTGCCAGTAAAGTCTCTAGGGGAGTTGAAGTTGTACTCTGGTTGCTATTACGAGAGGGACAGAGAGGCAGGCAGGCTGACGATTTCACAGCAGACATACACCGAAGAGCTGGGAGAGAGATATGGTGTCGCGTGGGGGGGGAGCATTCCTTTGCCCACCACCTGGAAACTTTGGGACTTCGACTTGGACGAGCCGAGCGTAGAGTACCCTTTTCGCGCGCTGGTCGGTTCGCTGTTGTTGATTGCCTTGCTGACTAGGCCGGATATCGCGAATTCGGTGAGAGCAGTGGCGAGGTACTACTGTAGTAGTGCACCGAAGTTGATCCACTGGAAGGCTGCACTTAGCATTTTAGGATATGCAGTTAGGACTAGTTCTTTGGGGATTTCTTTTCAGAGGGGGACGGTTTCGGGATTTTCTTTGATTGCGTGTGTCGACGCGGACTACGCTTCCCGTTCGGCAGACCGTAGGTCGGTTTCGGGAGGGGTAGTGATGTGTGCAGGAGGGGCGATTGCGTGGTTCTCCAAGACTCAAAAGTGTGTGACTTTGTCTACCACGCAGGCAGAATACGTGGCGATTTCATGTTGCCTAAGGAGTTGCGGCCGTGCATTCCACTGTATGAAGATAACGAAGGGGCTATCCAGATCGAAAAACACCCGATCTCGAATTCCAACTCGAAGCACATCGACGTGCGGCATCACTTCCTCAGGCAGCTCGTAGATGAGAAGGAGGTAGAGGTCATCCACGTAGCGTCGAAGTATCAGCATGCCGACTTCCTCACGAAGGCGCTACCTGAGAGAGAGTTTGTTTCCCACCGGGACGACGTGATGAACTTGAAGTGAATAGTCCGGCAGATCTTTTTCGTTTTTGGGTCTTGTGTCTTTTGCTTTTTTTCTTTCGATTTTTGTTTTTTTTTGGGTTGATTTGTTTGATTTTCTGAGAAATCGAGTTCAAGATTATCAGGTGGAAATTGTCGTATTTATGGTTTAAGGCCAATTGTTATGGAAGAATTCCAAATTTGGAATCCTCCGCCCTGGGAAAACAAATTCCAACGCCGAAATTCCAATTTGGTATTCTGGTGCCGACCAAGTTATGGGGAAATAGGAATCCGGAGCGTTGGGGGGGTAGATTACGATGCACGGAGCGGAGAATTCAAAAATGGGCGCGATTCTATGTACCGCACTCCCAGCAGACCATCCTTTCCCTGCGGGCGGGCGGGCGTGCGTACCATCCGCAACGAACACCGCGAGCATGGCCAACTTGCCCCCTGTTCTGAGCGAGTGCGAGCCAATTGAGTCATGGGGGGCCGATCAGCCACGACAGGAGATAGTTTGGTCGTGGAATTGATTCGTTGCCATGGGACCGAGAGGCGGGACCTGGACGCATCAGCAATGCCGCCTGCTGCAAAACCCGGCCGCGTACTACGCCAACCACTTTGTGAGGGACAAGGATGACATGCAGGCGCCTGACATGCATGCGCATGCTGCAAACTGCATGAGGACGTTCGCGACTCCTGGGATTATACTGTTCTTGACCCAATCGTGCGGATTCAGCATGCCTCATGGTCTCGACGCAGGAGAGCTCGGGAAGGTCTCCGCCAACGACGGTGAGTAGCTTTAGCTTAGGGAGCGTTGGCACTACACATATCCCTCTATTGTTCAAATGTGTAGGACACCACCTCGGTGCCTACATGTAGCAAGGATAGGCGCTGGCTGTCGACTCGNTCCCGCGTGAGATGACGCCGTATGTGTGCGGTAGCGTCAAGAAACAAACATCCGCGCAGAAAAACTGGCATCAGATACGCATGGGTGACATGAAATATGTACATATCAGGTACATTTTTTTTTTTTTTATTTTTAGTTTTGTGTTTATTTTTTTTGTGTTTGTGGGCGACCGCGGCGACGGTGGCAGTGGCGGTCTGGAAACCACCTGTTCGTACTGCTGTAGACTGCCACCTGAGGTGACGCCGTGCGTGTGCCAAAAGCACCAAGAAAGTAACGTCCGTGGGGAAAACCTGCCGAGAGAAACGGACGG